CTGGAAGTTAGATATTAAACTTTTTTTGATTTATGAGGTTTGTTCAATGCGTGCAAAATAAAGTTAAATAATCTATATATTTAATTTAAAACGGTAAATCCGAAATTTCGTCTGTTTTTTTTTTTTAATTAATGCGTCATTAGAAAGAAAAAAACTAACTAGAAACTTGTTCTTCTTCAGCTCTTTGCCGGATCGCCAACAAATTAGGCTACAAGCGCATACCGCCCCCTACTGTACAAGAGTGTGTAACACGTCGTTTACCTGTATACACACTCTTGTTGTTTACTTTTAATTCTGTGAAGTCTTTACAAAACTGTGATGAAGCCAAACTCTTCTCTGATTGTGTTCACTGAGTGCACACTTTCCAAGATAGTCGGCTTGGTGGAAGAAAAACAAAAATCCCAGTCGTGTGACGTCACATCCGGGTTCAGACATCTGCTTGCTCTGTAGAAGAGTTAGCGCACTGACAAAAACCAAATGGGCTGAATTAGAGATTGGGAAACATTGTCAGATCGACTCCTGCAACCAGACAGGTCTGTTTCATTTCCAATCTGATGTGCGACAAGCAGAGATATTAAAGTTTGACAGTTTTAATGACGTAACTTTGTACAGAGCACTCTTTAGCAGGTGGCTGTCGTTAGCACTATTTCACTGTGAGCTACTTTAAAGCGTGCTCACTGAGTTTTCAAAAAGCAGAGTGCTATTTTTTTTTTTTTAGATTATGTCCAAAACCATTTTACACCCACTGTATTTAATAAAATGTATTTTTTTTTCATTTCTTTATACGGCTCATGACCATATTACACACTCACAATAACACAACAAAGCCCAGCATTATCAAAATATATCAGACTTTACTTAAAACAACAACAACAACAATAATAATAATACATTTATTTATATAGCACCTATGAAAAACAAATCTTTTCTAGATTTACAGCTACAATGTAAACAGAATGACATTTTTCAAAAGGCAGTTACCTTTTAGCTTCTCTGATTGTAACAACAACATCAACATTAATAATAATAATAATAATAATAATAATAATAATAATAACTGTATTTATATAGCACCTTTAAAAACAAATGTTTACAAAGTGCTTTGACAGAAAAAGCAAATACACAACAGTCAGGACTGAGTGAATGTGCATCATTGTATACACCTGCAGTAACTTTAGATTGACTTATAAGCACCGTTATTAATTGTCAGACTTGAACACATTTGGTTTGTACACAGACAGATTAGTCTGTGTTTTCTGATTGTTGATCGGTTCAGCTCTACTCTTAACTCTGAGTTTGTTTCTCCTTTTAGATTTCCTCCCATTTGTTTGTGATCTCTGCAGCGGCGTTTACTGGTAGGATTTCCTTTTATTTTGAAGGAAAGTGTGGCTATGTTCAGATCTGTAACTTTGAATAATAAAGTAGAGTTACTAAACTGTACAGAATCTCATTAAACATAGAAAGAAGACGACAGTACATATTATTTTCAGAATTTCTTTAAAATTCAATGATAAATATTAAAAACAATCTTCCACTCATTTTAAAAAGAAGATATTTGCAGGTGTACAGTTAGCCCAGGCTGCACAGTGCTGAAGTGGTTTGCACTGTTGCCTCACAGTGAGAAGGTTCCTGGTTTGAATCCCCGTCTGACAGGAGCCTCTCTCTGTAGAGTTTCAATGTATTAGTGTGTCACACATTTCACAAATGTTTCATTGTTGATAAAGGAGACGACATTCTCTCTGTCTTTCACAGCCTTGAGCACAGAAGCAGAGATGCTCATTCGTGTTCACAGGTACATTTCCCTGATGTCCTTTCTCATAACATGACCAGTCTGTCCCGTTACTTACACGCTCTGGCTGACTTATTGTCTCCTCTGACTTTTTTTTAGGAGCCAGCGAAAAGGGAACCCAGGACTGAGGGCGGCACAAAAAGTTATCCCTGCTCGTTCCAAGACTGCAAGGGGAAAGAATTGTTGCCAGTTATATGTCCGCACTGCGAAAAACATTTCTGTTTAGCGTAAGTTTAGAGTTTTTTATCTTTCCTTTAAGATTTATTTGTGGGCTATTTCTGCCTTTTATTAGATACACAGGACAGTGGATGAGTCGCAGAGAGATTGGAGAAAGACATGCAGAAAAGGAGCGCCTGCTGCGAGGACTACAGCCTCTGTACATGGAGTGCACAAACCAACCACTAGGCACCAGTGCCCCATTGTTTTATGTCTTTCATTAACCTTTTTATTCAGCAACATAACTTTATTTAAACTCTCATGTATAGTCTCTGTTAAGAAGGAGTCATTATTTACTTCTTGTTAGAGCTTTTTATAATGAAACAGGTGTACTGTAAGGTTTGTTATTATGCTCTTGCTTCACAGCCATCGTCACCAAGATGATCACAAGTGTGAGAAGTTAGAGGTCCAAAAGCCTCGAATGGCAGCCACGAAGGAGCTGGTGCAAAAGATTGTGGGTTAGTTTCAGTGTAGCTCAAAGGTTACCTGGTACTTCTGTTATTCCTTATTTGTCCACACGGGATCAGTGTTCATGCTCGTTCAGTGCTCTCCTCTTTGTCATTACTCGTTTGTTAATACTCAGAGTCTAAGGACGGATCCAAAAAAAAAGGACGCAAGGGAGCAAAGAACAGCGCAACTGCAGCTAAGGTAGCACTGATGAAACTAAAGCTGCATGCTGCAGGAGACAAGGGACTGCCACAGGTAAAGTCCCAGCATTCTTGATTTTCTTTAAGAAGGTCACACATGAAATTCACTGTTTATCATTGTGTCCAGCGAAACCTCTTCCTCTCATTTGTTCATCCCTTACAGACAGAAAGAACCTATTTCCAGGTGTATCTTCCTAAAGAATCCACAGCCTCCAGCCAACCCATGTTCTTCTGTTCCAAATGGAGTGTGGGCAAAGTGGTGGATTATGCAGCTTCACTCGCTAACCTTAAGAACAACAATAACGTCCTCACGGCTAAGGTAAGAAATCCACTTCATGAGCTCCTTCCACCACCTCTCAGTTGGCTGTGTTTGGTGCTTGAGATAACTTTTGTTGTCTTTGTCGTAACCTCCCTTTGCATGCTCTGCTGCGACAACACCCTCTGTACTCTTTTGCGTTACGTCCTGTCTAGTGTTTCTTGTTTATTGTGCACTGTATTCCTTTGATTTTGTGTTTTGTTTGTTCTGTTGTTTTTCTCTGTGCTGTCATTATTTGTCGATTGCTGTTCAACTTGTACCGTGCTGTGACGAAGAATTTTCCAATTTGGGACAAAAAAAGTCTGAATGAGGATTAAAATGTGGCTGTTGTCTGGGGCTGACCGTTGTTAATTTTTTAATTTGGTTCAGAGCCATGCAAAATTCCTTAAAGGAGATTTATTATTATGTCAGCCCGGGACACCTATTGAGGAGCATTGTGAGATGTGTCGCTTAAAAACCACCTTATTTATCTGATCCTGGCGTCAGTAAAATCCCTCATTTCAGCCTCTGCCTGAAACGCGTCATTTCAGCCGCTGTCTCTTTAAGGCACCCCCCTCCTCTTGTGCCCACTCTCCTCTGATTTGCCAGCTCTGTTTGCAGTCACAAGAATTTTGAGTGAGCTTCCAGGTGGCTGTGTACTCAGAGAAGCTGTCGGGGTGGACGTCAGGTTCTGGCCAAGTCTTGCGAAGTTCCCAGAACGTCTTGTTCTGAGCAGCAGGAAACCACGTCAGGGGATTACACTAACAACTGTGTATCACATGTTTACAACAAAAAAAAAAAAAAATAGTATGGACATCCAACATTTTAACATAATATATGTATTTAAATATGGATCAGCAGATTAGACCTTTTTTTAATAAACTTGTTCATCATTTGTGTTGCGATGAGGTTTCCACAGAATGTAAATAAATCTGCAACAGTAAACACAAAATTATAATTCTTGAATTAGCCTTAACAGTGTCTCTCTTGTCTGCGCCTGCAGAAGCTGCGGTTGTGTCACCCTCAGACGGGTGAAGCTCTCCGGATGGATGACACCCTACTCTTGCTGCTGGCTCACCCAGACGCTCCCCTGTACAACGGGGGAAACGTGATCCTTGAGTACCTGGACAATGATAGCACAGGCCTGGGGGATGTTTCTGACTATATCGCACAGACCTGACACTCACTTTTGTACCAATGATTTCAAATTGCTGTGTGTATTTCTGTCAATAAAATGTCTTTATGAATTATATGTCAGATTGTTACATATTCTTTATATCACGCAGGATTCTGTTTTTATGACAAATATCTTTATATGTTTTCTTTTGACATTTTTGTTGCTGCTGTGCCTGAAATTGCAACTTAATAAATTATGGCATGTACAACATTTTGGCATATGACCCCGGCGGGACTTGAGCCATCAATCCTCAGCTCCAGATGCTGATTGTGCCACATGGGCTGATTTCCATAATAACATTTCTCGTTTAATTTTACAACAGTGAGCAGTCAGGTGATGGTTCAGAGTAATAAAGCTGACCCCAATTTCAGAGTCTCATATTTAGAAATAGTATTATGATGTGATAAAGGCAATTCAGGTCAATTTTATGATGATGATTTTATGACGTGATTTTATTTTATGAAAAGTCACAAGACTGGTAAACACAACGTGCAAAGACAAAGTTCTTTGTAAAAAAGATCCACAACAAGGGAAACTGGCTATGTTAACAACGTGTTTTATGCAACTCCAGACCACAAACATTTGCATTTATACGTCATTATAAATCTTTGTAGAGTGCTTTTATATCGCTGTTCCGATGTTTGGACCTTCAGAGATGGTAAAAGGTAATAATTATCCTGTAACATCAGTTTCGTTTTGAGAACCAGTCGAGATATTTGACAGCGTCAGCCTGTGGATTGACAGAGCGAGTATTAACCAATCACATCGGTTGTCAACAAGACTGACATTCTAACGAGCCAATCACGAGAGGTGCTCTGGAGGGAGTGGGCGTGCGCGGCTTCTCGGGGGTATATAAACGAAAAAAGGGGGCTGGGCTTCTTCACACAGTAGATTCCGTTGTTTTGATGAGAATAGATGTCCCGCTGAAAGAAATCGACTATTTACAGGAAAAAGTGAACCGTTTTCGGGAAATTTCACTGTTAGGTAGCTCGTTAGGTGCTACTTGATCGAGTCGCTTGTGGAAAAAAGCGACTTGATTATTCTACACGAAGCTGTTTGTAAGAAATCAGGTGGAAAGGGATGCCGCTGCAGACAGACTCCGACGGACGACAACAGTCTTTGGATTTAATCTCATCGCATTTGATCGGGAAGAGCAGTTTTTCTATAAATTTAAAAGGCCTCAGTATAACCCATTCTCGACCGAGTACTTGCTGGAGATGCTTATGTCCGAGTGCGAACTAAAAGCCCGACAGGAGCGGTTATAATATTCAAACTAGCGATCAGGCTAGTTAGCCCACCGTTAGCTGGTCAACAACAAAGCGGGGGTCGTTAATCTTTTAGCTTCACAGAGTGACCAGTTAGGTGACAAAAACCGAGTGTAAAGTCGACGACTTGGCCTTTTAAACCCCTTTTTCTTCCTGCCTGTGGTGAAAATATCGCTCGGTGAGTGAATTGTGTCATTTTCTGTCGATGTACTGAACCAGGAAGACGATTTGTCAACTTGGATTCATCGGGGTGGGGGAGGGGCTACACGGATGTTATGACCTATAACTGTGACCCCGCTCTACTAATCCTGTTTGAAGCCTTTTTATATTTGACCTGTTTTTTATCAGATAATATCAACACATTAACAGTACACAAATGTGATTTGTTTTACCTTTTTAAATAATTTATTTACCTTCTGGGGAAAGCAGACACACAGGGTCAGTTACCTTTTCCCCACATTGAGCTTTCACAAACATGTCGCATTAAATTTATAAAAATATAAATGCTATTATACAATATTTATCTTTTAATAAATGGAAGTCAAACACCTCAGTGTCAACACATACAAAACAAAAATGTGGGAACCGAAATAAATATCACGCATAAAGTAAATTCACATGTATGGCTACATTAATTAGCAGTAAGTAAGTTTTACCTGCTTTCTGTAACATAACAATAAGTAAGGTGTTTTACCTGCTTTCTGTAACATGACAGTAAGTAAGGTGTTTTACCTGCTTTCTGTAACATAACAGTAAGTAAGGTGTTTTACCTGCTTTCTGTAACATAACAATAAGTAAGGTGTTTTACCTGCTTTCTGTAACATGACAGTAAGTAAGGTGTTTTACCTGCTTTCTGTAACATGACAGTAAGTAAGGTGTTTTACCTGCTTTCTGTAACATAACAGTAAGTAAGGTGTTTTACCTGCTTTCTGTAACATAACAATAAGTAAGGTGTTTTACCTGCTTTCTGTAACATGACAGTAAGTAAGGTGTTTTACCTGCTTTCTGTAACATGACAGTAAGTAAGGTGTTTTACCTGCTTTCTGTAACATAACAGTAAGTAAGGTGTTTTACCTGCTTTCTGTAACATGACAGTAAGTAAGGTGTTTTACCTGCTTTTTGTAACATGACAGTAAGTAAGGTGTTTTACCTGCTTTCTGTAACATGACAGTAAGTAAGGTGTTCTACCTGCTTTCTGTAACATAACAATAAGTAAGGTTTTTTACCTGCTTTCTGTAACATGACAGTAAGTAAGGTGTTTTTACCTGTTCTTTTGTAATGTTAAAAGACAAAGAGTAAGGTATTTTACCTGCTTTTTGTAAAGTGTCTCGAGATAACACTTGTTATGAGTTGACGCTATACAAAATAACAATTGATTGATTAACTTTGTTTTCTTGTTTTTGTCACAGACAGAAATGAAACTGTTGGAAAACTCCAGTTTTGAAGCCATCAGCTCCCGGCTGTGCGTTGAAACAGGAGAGTCTCGTATCCTTGGCAGGTAAGGGGGCGACAATTAACCTGTGCTTATGTTTCAGCCGGAACACTTGAGGTGCAAGAAGATGAACTTTTATTTGTTCCACACAAAGTGAGAGAAGTTTGTCTTGGGCTCTTGACCCGGGCTGCAGCCGTGGAAACACAACATTCAACATCATTCACATTAAACCTAAAATCAATTAAGATTATTCAATTATGTCCGGGGAAAAAATGAGAATACAAATAACATCAGACTAGTTTTACAGTCCAGACTAGTACCTATCCTTTCTTATTTGCCACTATTTCAAAGTTTTAAAGACGCAGATATAAATACATTTTTAAAACCGGCTCACGCAGTCTACAACAGGGAAACTCTGAACCTCTCACCTTCGGGCGGCGGCTCATAGCCAACTTGTCTAGGACATTTTGGTATTACTTAAAAGGAACAAAGAGTGTCTTTAACACCAGGGAACAAGTTGCAGGCTTTTTTGTTTGTGTTTGTTTTTGTTTTGTTTTTGCATAGATACATAAAAACACAACATCAGCCAGGGTGTGCACACAGGTGTGTTTATTGATTCGACTTCAGTAGTGAACTACTTATGTTCACGATAACTATGTTTGGAAAGCGACATTCTTGGATCTTATACTGTATTATTTAAGTTGTTGCTAGTTCTGCTTTATTTCCTTGTTAATTGTTTCGCATCAATACACCAAGTCAAATTCCTTTAATAAAGGCAATAAAACCCGATTCTGATTGTGGTGAGCACGAACAGTAAGTGCTTGACTAGAGTTTCCCTTATGTACGTTTCCCTCTTGTCTGATATGATATAGTCAAAGAAGGACAGAGTGTGTTTGGTTCAGAGATCACCGACACAGTTCATAAGTGGGAGCAGTAGAGCAAATGAGGACGTGCATGTTGTGCAACATTGTGATAATCCACCACTAAACTGCAAGTTAATATCTAACTGGTTGTGCATGAGTTAAGATTGTCTTTAACTTTTCCAGTGTGTTTGGAGTTACGTAAGGCCTTCAGCCTCAGCGACGGAGTCGTTACATAAAAAAATAAAATAAAAAAAGGCCCAGTGGGTTGTGTTTGAGTTATGCCGAGTTTGAGAACGGGGTTTTCAGTGTGGGTGTTGAAACTGAGCTTCTGTGCTGGTTGTGACCTAAAGCGACACACAGCGAGGTGTCCTCTCACACCGCTCTGTGGCTATTTTGGACACAGTGATACAGTGTTATTGGCACATACTGTAAGTACATGCACAGATAAACACATAACAGCAATGCTGCATGAGAGCTGAGTGCTGCTGAAGCTGCCGACGCTGCTGGTGTTTAGGCTGCTTAGAGGATTAGTGAGGCAGCTCATCATAGCAGCAGGACCTGCAAGCTGCTGGCTATTTGAGTAGAAATGTACCCACAGGGCCGGTTTCCCACAAGGCCGGTTTCCCACAGATGAACTGACGATTTAACATGTAGGAAAAAAAAAAAGCCATGAAAAAGATGTTTCAATATGTTTGATCTTTGACTTGAAAAATGTCACACAGTGCTACTCAAAGGGCTTTAAACTCAAAGATATAATTCTGTTCTGGGTAAAGGTCATTCTCATGGTGTGAAAGTCTACTCTGTGGCGTACATAAATTGCTGATTCAGGTCTAAATGCGTAAACATGCAAGCTGGCCTTGATAAGAGTTGTGTACGGAGCTGGTTGCTGTTGCAGCTTTTCAAAAATAATCTTTTAGTGTTTATAATCTTCCCCCGGCTCCAGTGTCAGTGTTTTGGCGGCAGATCAGTTGTGTTGTGGATGGAAAACCGGGGCAGATATTTCCATCGCAGGGTCCACCACGGCCATAGAATGTGCCTATAATTAGGCTGGCAGGGCCGGCGTAAGGTTCTCGGCAGCACTCCAGTCTATCTTGAGTTGCACAACCTTTTTGCTCTTGCATAACTCTCGGGTGGAGGGAGGGGCAAAATAAACAACCACACACCCGTCTGCTCTGCTCTCGTATCTGTGACTGTGGCGTCTGACCCAGAGACATGAAGGAGCATGCAGGAAGTTTTGGCAGAGTTGTTCAGAGTCGTGTGGTTAAGACATTTTCCAGCTGTGTTTTTGATGTTTGTGATACTTTTAGGATCTATTACTTTCATTTCTGGATATAATAAAGCTGCTGAGTGCACACAGCCAAGAAAGATAGACTTAAAGTTGTGTTTACTTGGTGTCTTACATGCTGTAACATGTATTTATTTATGTCATTGGTGGAAGAAAGTGTGACATTGCTTCATAGACTTATGTATTTAAAGTTCTCTTAAGTGCTCCCAGTGTGTTTGTGTAATTGTGTTGAAGCCTAATGGACTAGTACAGCACTCTTTAGAGATTAGGTAACACATTTTCACTGGTCTCAAACAGCACACCTGTTTCATTGACTTCATATTCAAGCTTATGATGCATAATAATTTGATTTTTCTGCAGGATTGAGAGCTACTCCTGCAAGATGGCAGGGGACGACAAACATATGTTCAAGCAGTTCTGCCAGGAGGGGGAGCCGCACGTCCTGGAGGCCCTCTCCCCCCCTCAGTCCACCAGCGCCACCAGCCCTTCACAGTGAGTACTGCAGTCCACAGTGGAAGAGAGCCGGTTTTGGTTTAAGGTCTAAGGAAAATGTGAAAAGATCTTACGATTTGGTTCCTTTTGTTTATATGAAATTATACTGAGGAATGGCCTTTTAATTTCCCCCTGTGTTATTCTGTTCAGGCTGGGGAAGAGCATCGAGGATGCAGAGAACCCTCTGAGCGACAAGTGTTGCAGGAAGACTCTTTTCTACCTCATCACCACGCTCAACGAGTCCTTCAGACCCGACTATGACTTCAGCGCGGCGCGGGCCCACGAGTTCAGCCGAGAGCCCAGCGCCAACTGGGTAAGCGTGCTGTCCTGTACCTCAAAGGCAACGCAGGTGTTCGTCTTGACTTAGAAAATGAAAATCGCAGTGTTGTTGAATGTGACTGTTCTCTCTGCAGGTGGCTAACGCAGTGAATGGCAGCTTGTTCTCAGCCGTGGGAGAGGAGTTCAACTCGCTCGGGCCAGAGCTGTGGAACGCCATGGACCAGGAGATCAACCTGCAGGGCTGTGACATTTACAGGTAGCTGTGCTCGTGATTTATAAGCTCAAAACAAAAAAAAAAAACACCTTACCTTGTGTTATCCAAACATAATCCTGACATGGTTTGATATTTGCTTCCAGCTACAACCCTGATCTGGACTCGGACCCTTTTGGTGAAGAGGGAAGCCTCTGGTCCTTCAACTACTTCTTCTACAACAAAAAACTCAAGAGGATTGTATTCTTCACATGTCGCTCAGTCAGGTGAGCAGCTGCAGCACAGTCCCCATTTAGTTTTGCCCAGTTACACCTTCTAGAGTTCTAGACTAGGGGATACATAAGAACATTTGATGACTGAACGTATTACTCTGAAACATTCACCTGAAGTTGTGCACCAGTTTAGAAAAGACAATGAATGCATCCACCTGATCCGGTTTCACTCTGTCCCACCTGCAGCGTCTTAAGTGGCTACGGCCGTGATTGTCTCGACAATGAGCTGGACATGGAGCTGGACAGCGAGGAGGAAATGGACGGCTTCGCTGAGGATAGGTGAGGCCGGTGATCATTGAGTAGTTCATCATGACTCACACCATTTAAGTCATTAGAGGTGCACGGGAGGTGTTTTGCTGACGCTGTCATGTTTATCGTTTCTTTTTTCCTCTCTCAGGTTCCCCAGAGCTCTGTGCGTGTGAGTCCCTCGCCTCAGTCAAAGAACATCGAGGCCGTCTCTTCATCCCTTTTTTTTTTTTTCACCTCATATACCCTCTTGGCTTTTTTTTTTTGTGACATGTTGCTGCCTCATCCAAAGCCATTTTCGCTCATCATTAATCTTGTGCATGTTTGAAGGCCTCTCCTCTGCTGGCAGTGAACTGAACCGCGAGTCGGTGGACATTTTGTTAAGACCCAGCGGTAACATTTAAGCTCCTTTTACTCTCCAGTTTGCTTTTTTTTAACCCAAAACTGAAAAGCCCGAACAAGCACAGATGAATACAAACACACACGGGCTTCTCTGCATCTGCCACATTTCCAAAGAGACCCCTTCATGGACACTTGAGAAGAAGAAGGTCTTATTGTGGACAAGCAGGCACCAAAAAAAAACTAAAACTGCGAGCGAGTAGAGTTTCATGTGATGTCAACCAGGAGGAGTTCGGATAACACCAGCATAAACGCAAACTCACACAGACTTAAGATTTGACGCTAAGCTGGAGGAAGGCTGACTCACTGAACAGCAGAGAACTCATCTGTCACTCATCGTTTGCTAAATTTTGTGTGTTGTGTGTGACATACTGTGAGTTTTTTAGCACTGAGTTTGAAATCTTAAAACGCTGCATTTATAACTGAGACTTCTATTATTGAATCTTATTACTGCGAGGAGCTCGTCTGTACTTTAGACTGTAGGGCATTGCCGAGGAGACTGTCGTTGGCACCCGGGGTTGCAGCTTAGAAAACATATCAGCGTTCAACAGATATCCTGTTCAGTGTCATCTGTTGTCCAGCTCCATGATTTGATTTTTTTTTTTTTATACCTTGTCTAAATTGTTTTTCCACTGCTTAATTCAAACTTGGTCCATTTCTAAATGTCGAGTCTTGCCAGTGATTCTTCTTTGCTTAATATTCCCATGCAAAGGCATCATTACAGTGAATGTATAGTCCAACTTAGAGAAAAAACCCCAATACAGTGAAATGCTACATTTGACATGATTTTTTTAGACAAGCGAGAAGCTCCTTCGTTTCTATTTTTCTAAGAGTTTTGTTTTTCTTGGCTGTGTTGTGCTTTGATGATCCGGCCGATATATTGCAGCTGTGAATAAACCGTTGTTTGAGTCAGACCCGGTGTGCTTCTTATTAGAGATGCACCGAAGGCTACACACATCAGAAGTCAAACCTGGCACTGCATTTTACATTGACAGCGCAAAAAAAAAAAAAATCTGAAAAATTACAATAATTCCAAGGAAATGTATCTAAACTTTGGGCTGGCTTCACATAAACAGGAAACAGTAACTACTGTAAGCTTTTCAAAATAAATGTTTTAAACTGAAGTGTAAGAATTGTACTTTTGATCAGACAAGCTGTTCCATCTCGGCTGAACGTCGTCATGGAGACGATTTGAGGGCACTTGCAACAGTTCAGTCCGAGCATCTTGGAAAGCGAAACTGTGCGAGCTGAGAATGTTTAAGGTGCCTGATGATCTGTGGATCTGCCCCGTCAGTCTGATATCGGATACATAAATTGTGCCAATATCAGACCCGCTAACCGATGTTAGACCGGATCTTCCCCAGCTCTAATGCAGTTTTTAGTAAAATACAACATTCCCTTTAAAGTTCTGTCGATATCTAGATATAACTCACTGAAGGAAATAAACACTTTGCTTGTGAGCAAATTTGTATTACAAAAAAAAAGATGAAACTCCTGCTCAAAATTGAAAACCAACTTTTATTTAAAACAAGTGAAATACAGTCCATGACCCTGACTGATAACCACCCCACAGAGAGTACATGTTCTACTTCCCTTGCTCTGTCAGATCAAGGAAAAAGCTGTAAACCTTAACGCTGCAGGGTCCGGGGCAGAACCCTGTAAGTGTAAAAATACTTTACCCCACCTTATTCAAGAGACCCAGAGGCACACTCCCTGACCACGATGGGACGCCATTTTTAAGCCGATGAAACTCATGCACTGCCTCCTTTATTTTTTTTTGGCCACTGATTCGAGCTTGAAAATGGTAAACATGGTTTCAAAGTGACACGTGCATAGATCTGTTAACAAGGGATTCTTATAGCGGGTCAAAACAAGGGGCACACTGTCAACGCCATCGTCCAGACACTCGGGACAGCACGGGTAATAAGGCGGAGGAGGGTCAAGTATTCGAGCTGCGGGATGGCGGAAATGTTCAGATCATCTTAATGCTACGGAAAAATCGAGTTCTGATGGTCGTCAAGTCACACCTTCCTGTACACGTGTGGCACCTGTTCAGATCCCTTTTGTAAAATGGTCCAGGACAAAAGAATTCACCAAACATGAGCTCTCTCTCTCTCACACACACACAGAGAGAATCAATGATCATCGTGAATACAAAATCGATCCAGATGCTAACTCGCCATGATCCCTGCTTTACATAAAAGCCAATAAAACTAAATAAAAGCAGTGTTTTAATTTAAAATACTGTTATTAAAACTGAGCATTTTACCTGTATCAGAAATTGTTTTCAGCTGTTTAATACTTTGAATTAGAGAAGAGCTGGATGTATGGAAGCCCGAAGCAGACATGCATGTATACATTAATGTTCCCGGTCATATGTAAGTTTTCACTTCGTTCCGCTGAGATCTGGAATTATTTGCGTTATTATCTCGGGGTAAAAATCTTAGTTTTGCTTAAAAACCGATTCATTGTCATTTTGTTGGGATAACAAATCTTCTTTTCTTGCTATAAACAATAAGAGTAAGACGGTCTCTGTGAAAGGCGAGACTACAGCATGCCACGCTGTCACTGCCCACACCAACGAGGTAAGTTAACCTTATTTTATACGTTTGATTTTTTTGCCTCTACAACTCTGACGGAATGTTATGAGCCGAGATCTCAAGGAAACAACCGGGGAATCAGAGTATCGTAAAATCTGGTTGAAGACGCACTTTTGGTGGTATATTGATTTTTAAATAAAACTGAGAGAGTCCTTCATGAAAGTTAACGAGTGACCAGCGGACGTGAGCAGTACGACTCGCGGGGCTGTGGGTCTGTAACTTTCACCGGGAGCTGAGAGCTCAACTACCGTACTGTATCTAGTAGGAGTGGAGACGCTACAGAGGGAAAACCTGACTGATTTCAAGAGCTTCAGAGCTGCA